AGTTACTGGCATAGTAATCAAATTTGAAATTTGGCTTCTTCAAATGGGAACTTTATATGAATTTAAAGAGAAATRTCTTAAAGGAAAAATCTTTATGGTTTCAAAGTTCTCTTAGATTTCAGGTTCCTGTGCATGACCCTTCCTAACAGTATTTACATCCTAATTTATTGCATGTCACTGAGAYTGATTTGTGATAAAACATAATGGTAATAACTCCCAAGTTTAAAAAGGGTATTGTACACAGCAGTTCCTTCCTCAATTATTCTCTCTCCCTATCAGGCTCAGGGAAGACAGGAACAGTTCCTATATGCGTAGAAAGACTCTAGGGGACCTAATTCCCTACAACAGATCGCTCACTACAAACTAATTAGAAGGAGTTAAATGTTTCTACTGAACACACTAAAAAAGAGGAATTTTTTTTTTCAGCTTGCCTGCTGTTTTCTGATTATTTCCTTCCTCAAAAACTTGCCACCAAACTGTTTGTTTSTAACATACTGCTTTGGAGGTGAAATTTGATGGTCCAGCCACAACCAAAAGTGTAAATGACTTGAGGATGTTCTAAACATCCCAGGAGAAAAGGAAAAGTCCTTCCTGACACTGTACAAACATGGCTATTAGAATTTTCCTAGTTATTGTATTAATAAAAGCTTCCTCAATGAAGTAATTTTTTTTAATTCTGATAGGCATGCCTCCAAGTATTTTTCCTACTTTTCTTAGGCATTTTAAAGGAGACAGCTGATCCACAATGAACACCAAGTTGAACGTGAATGGCTTATTCACACTTTCTAAATTTTGCTTGCCCTTTTCTCTAGGTTTAATTAATATGCTATTAATAGTAACATTTATRGTGTGCACTAATATTTGTCTCTCAGTTCTGCTCATTTGTATAAGGTACATCATTTCAACTTTTAGGAGTATTCTCCTGGAGCAAGCCCCAGCCACCCCTGGGCTGCAAGCTCCCCAGAGGCTCCATCTGGCTGTCTCCTGCCTGAAAATGTACTGATTTCTGGCTACACAGAATTACCTAGGGGCAGTCCCTCCCATTTTCTTTCCTGATGGTAAAGAGCCAGAGTGGYACCTTTCTGGCCAACCAGAGACAACTTGTGTGGTTGGCATGACCACTCTAGCAGTAAAGAAAGGAGTCAGGCTAGATGGGAAGGGGGACAAGACTGAGACAAGCCAAGCGGTGCTGAGAGCTGAAGAGAGTGCACAGTTAAATCTTCTGCTAGACACTGAGCGGTTATGAGATGCATTCAAGCAAAGACCTGCCCATGAAGCCAGCATCCTCCTCTTAACCCAACTTCAACCTGGTGCTCTGTCTGTTACATGGACAACCTCCCATAGTCTCTCTTCCTCAATCTGGGGAGACATCTCCCAGCTGCCTTGCTTTTATTTCTGGATAAATTATTAATGCCTATTCATCCTTCACACATGTAATTTTTAACTATGTAAAATATTTATAGGGGTGGGAAGGGTAACTTCCTCTGTATTTGTTATTTCTCCCTTGCTTTTTTCCAGCAAAACCCACTCGGATTCCTGATTAGGATTTTCCGGGCTCCTTTTCTCTCCTATGAACCTTACATTTAACTCGTAAGTAATGAATGCCAGATCGATAGAATAAGTAACAAAAGTACCCACGGTGACTGAACAGCAAACTCTTAAATCACCACGCAGTAAGTGCAAATGAACAATTATTGAAAACACTGCACTAAAATCTCAATAGGAGATAAGAGTGAGGCTTAAGTCATTAAGAGGGTCCATTAGTCTTGTAAGTGTGAAACAGCACACTCCAAACATTAGCTGTTCTGAAGAACTGGAAACAGCACGCATTCCACCAACTTGCACACATACGACTGACTCCAACTGAGAGAGGTCAGGGTCTAAGTGACCAGTCCCTTAGGAAGCACAGGGTAAAAGAGAAGCAGATAGCCTGAGCCAGCCCCTTCAGGCAAAGATTCCTCAGATATATCTGAAGGGGGCACRACCCAACAAATCAGATTATTTATAAGGGAAGTAAATATTCTTTCTTCATATCAATTCACCTAGTACCATAGCATTGCTATGCTTTTCATCACTCCCTGCCAGAGACACAAATAAAAGACTTCTGACGCGTCTACCCATTCCCACAAATCACCAGAAAAGCCCAAGTAGTATGCAGTACCACTTTGTCTTTGTCCAGACTCCCCCTGACTTGATAAACCACTTGCACTTGAAAAATGAAGAAACTATGTTCAACCAATTTACAAAGTGAAAGTATTAGTGTAAAAAAAAATCACCCGAAACAGATGAAATTTTACATATACACATACATGCACATACATGGACTTATATACACACATATATATGTATGCATGCACACGTGCAAAAGTATGTGTACATAGTCTTAGGGGCTTGCAAACATCAGAATGCCATTGAATTTTAACATGTTCTGCTCAATTCCTCTTGCCCTAGCTCATGTACCACACATTTTATTAGAAACAGTTGGGCTCCCAAATTGGAGATGTCTAAGACCTTGAGTGAGGGACTGCACAGCATAACCTGAAAGAAACAGCCTTCCTGAATATCCATGATCTCCTCCAGGAACAGGAAAACATTTTCTCATGCTGGAATCATGGTGAGACTGAACCATGTTCATGACACAGAGGGCAACTTTAGCCTTGCCTTTCCAAGAGTATATTTTCATCTGGAGTATGTAGGACATTGCATTTCAATCTGAACTATTAAAAACTTGCATTACACAATGAAACTAATTACCCTGTGAATCACCCTGCTTTATAAGACAGCTGGACTAGCATACAGTGAATAACATGGGCTAGCCCAGGGAACATTTCTCCAGGGGTCACACCATAATCCAATAAAGCATAGATGGTCTCTGACCACTACTTGTAGACTTTACTGCTTTTCTGGTTAGCCTACTTCCTCACTACAATCACATCAGGAATTTTTGTGAGAGCTTGGAAACTTACATTAAAATTATAATCTTTATCACTCCTCAATATCATTACAGACACTAAAATTTTATTTTGTCCGAAAGACACCTTTGCAAGCTTTTCCATTTATCAAAAATAAATGCATGATAGATGCTGTTCTATTAATTGCCAATAAACCAGCTTACTGCTTTCATCACTACTCCCAGGAAAGAGGTGTTGTTTAACTCTGGAATCTGCTTAAATTTGGCTAAGAAATGAGGATTGTTTCTTTCAAATCAATGATGGTTATTTTAAGCCGCCTTTTTCAATATGACACAAATTAAAGGGAAATCAAAACTGCTGTCAAGACAACTAAAGGCATTTAGCTTTTGCAACTTGGGTTCCTACCACACTTTTTTTTTTTTTAATGTTTCAAAGGCTCAACAAAACAAAACAATACAGTATACAGATATAAATGCCCAACAAACTAACTGTGTTGCAACCCAAAGATATCTAAATATTTCTTTAATCTGAAAGCAGTCTCTAGATGTACTATTCAAAGCAAGCCAAGAAATCACCCAGAGCATTTGCATCTTAGAATCCTCCCCTATCCCCTCTTCAGCTGCTCTCACAAACCTTTTAATATCACATAGATTCCCTTAAATGATGACGCCGGATGGGACTTACAGAAGGAAAGCATAACTTCAGGGAGGAGGAAAAGATATTCGGTCTTAATCCTTGGTTTCTTCTTATTTAGTGAAAGGCTTTTGCTTTCTTCCCTAGCAGTAAGTTGAAGCGTTACAGTGCAAATGTACAGCTCTCAGCCCACTTACAGTGCTCAACTGATAGCCCAGATCTAAGCCTCCACATGCTTTCTGGAAATGCAAGCAGCTCAGCTGAAAACCTAAGGGAGGTTTCCACCAGCGGCACAAAACTAAACCGCACAAATATTTAACAGCTCGGAGACCTCTAAAGGTTTAAAATAATATGCATTTTGTGCTAAGCTGCTCCTAGCCAGAGGGAGCACTGAGATGGTATGGAGGAGTGTTCTCAGCTACCCAACCACTGCTCACTAGAGAATGTTTTCTTCAAAATTAAAAAAAAAAAAAACCAAATGCTTAATGAAATGTCCCTATTGACTAAGCATTCACAGCATCAATAGTATAGGAACTTTGTTTCACATTCCATTAAGTTAGCCCATGACTTCTCAGGCTTGCACCATTTCTCCTTCCTCACCTAGCTAAAAAAGCCAACTTCATTCCGACAAATCAAGGCAAAGTTTATTCACCCCCACCCTTGTCTCGTCTCTTTTCCAACTTAAACTCATCCACAGCTCCCAGCCCCAACTGTAGCACAAAGGAAGCTTTGCGAGCTGCACCGGCATGGTCCCCCAGTTGCCAAGTGGAGGTAGGTTTCATGTAACATATTTTAGCATCTTAAAAGATTTTATTTTTTTTTTAAGGAATTCTCTGCCTGATGAAGAGACTGACACCCCCCCCCCCGAAATTGCATCATCAGAGACAACACTCACCAAAATACATTATGTTTCTCATTAATCAGACAGCTGAAACCCCACCGCGGCGTCTTCAGCATCAGCTCGCACCCCAGGCTGACACGCAGAGCAGAGCCGTTTCATGCTACACTCGGCGGAAACGTCCCCAGCGCGGCRAGCAGTGAGCGCCCAGCTTGCCTCCTCCGCGGGATAAGCGCCTCACGGGCTGCCTGTCCAGGGCTATGGTCCCCGGCGGCTGGAGCGTGCGCTSGGGCTGCCTGCTGCACTGCCCATCCTTACTGTAATCCGACTCCTCCTTGCGATGTCCTTGCCGAGCCTGTGACATCAGGACTGAGAGTACTACAAACAGACCCCCCCACCCCACCTCACTCCACCCCCGGTTCGCAGCCTCTCCACGAGGTGCTCCGATTGCCTGCCTGGACCAACCATGGCTCTCCGGAAGCTTTCGCGAGCCCAGAGCTTTGGGTGGGGGGCGGAGTGAGGGGCGCGGGGAAGCTCTCTTAAAGAGAGAAGGGTCTCTGGATCCACAGGGGAGCCACGCAGAGRAAATTCACCAGTGTACCGGAGGGGAACCTGGTTAGGGCGAATTCTGCCATTAACGTGTGATTAGACACACTTTCATCTTGCCCCTCCTACGAATGCCATCATCCTCGCCAAAATTTAGCTGCCCCTGCCAAGTTGGAAAGAAGGATGGTGGTGTGCGCCTGCATTCTCTTTCGCAAAGAGCTTGAGGGTTGGTGATGGTGGTTATTTGTGCATGTTTATTCAGGAGAGGAATAAGAGGAACTCAAGGAACTCCATTCCTTGGGTGGTCAGGGTTTTGACTTAGAAGTGATCGGAACCAAGGAAGCCAGTTGCTGTTGAAGAGTTGTGGGGGTTTTTTGTTTGCTTGTTTGTTTGTTCTTGTCTGTTTGTCTTTGTTTTTAATTTCTTGAGTGTTTGCTGAGTTAGGYTGATCCACAGATGTAAAGAAAAACAACTGGTATTAAAAATCACCTCCTAGTTTCGCAAAACACATTTTCTGCCTCTCTTAATGGGAACTGTAAAGCACACTGAGGCTGAATTGATCTTTGAACCCTTAAGTGGAAGAGACATTTAGCTTCAAAGGCAACCAAGATTATGCCATAATTCAAGACTAGCACGAATATAGTGTGTATAGTATGTGTATGAGTCCACACACACACACACACACACACACTCACACAATTTGAGATGAACGGTTACATCTCAAAGCTTAGCAAAGTCTCTGGCTCCTCCAATGGTATAATGAATTGCAGTCCTTATCTTTCATAGAAAAGGATGTTAGAAAGAAAACCCTGGAAGCTGTGCTGATTAACACTCAGCACAGCATGGAAAATAAACCCACACAGAAAGTTCCATTTCCAAAGGACACATCACTCTGGAACTCAGTTTACCCCCTGGACCATTCAAACTTAAAGATTTCTATGAACATCTATGAAATTAAGAATTGGAGACACAGAACTGCAGCCTCTGGAAAGAAGCGATATTTTTAATCTGGACTTTTATAAACCATGTTAGCAAATAGTTCTACATTTTGATATTAAAATATTCAATGATGTTTCCTTATGCAATTCTGTAGTGTTGGTGGGTTTAATGTGCTTTGATACTAGGGGGGGGGGCGAGGCTCATAATGACAGCTTTCTGTGCCATCTTGCAAAAATATCTTTACCCCCTATGTCCCCTCTGTCAGAAGAGTGCAATGACAGATAATCTTCTCTCACTCTGTATAGTAAAGAATTTGGTGAATGTGAGTAGGTAATCAAATACCAATCAGATTCACAGAGAATCTTGAGAGAAATCTAGTGCTGTTCTTATAAGGAAATGTCCTTCCTTTAAAGTGATATGGAAAAGGAAAATTTAAATATAGTGAGGGATGTTTACTTTTTCACTCCTTCTTAAAATTAAAAATAAAAACAATAAACAATGTTAYAGGCAAATACTGAAGAAAATACATAAGTGTTTTCCCTTTTGGACAGATGGAAATTATCCAAAAATACAATTAATGGCCCTTCCCTCAGGCAAAGGAGCCATCTGTGGTGAAGCTTTTGCAGGAAGCCAATCAGCTGCCTTGCCTCCTACAGAGGCTAGGGGGCACTGTAGTTTAATGTTAGAGTTTTTGGTCCACTGGAGTTCCTGTAGTTGGAAAATGCAAGCATTCAGAGTTGAGTTTAAAACCGGTTTGAAAGATTAAAGGACTGTCTTCATCATTAATAACACCTTTCATTTGCATGATGTTTTACAGCTACAATATATTTGCACATATGTCATCTTTCTTAGTAACAAGTTGAGATATAGGAAGGTGGATGTTATCAAACTCGGAAGTGAAAACCTTGAGGCTCACAGATGTTAAACAAATTTCTCAATGAAGTTAGTAAAGGACTATTGTCTTAATATTTTCATGTCGAATTGGTCAGGGTCTTTCAACTGTTTTCCTTACTCAAATAAATATGTCATTTATTATGACTCAGGTGAAGATTTTCCCCAGGAAAAGTATACCATGGCATTTTCCAGAAACAAATATACATATGAGATTTACAGGCATATAGTATCTGGTAACAGAACATGCCAATCTCTGCCCAGTCTATAGAGGATTATACCCCAAAGAGCAACACATGGCCACTGGAAGAGTATGGCTTCCAAGGGGCMACTGCATGTTATATCCATACAGTGAAAAGCTGCTCAATAAAAAACGTGAAAGTATCCTCTTTTATTTAAAGATATGTGCCCCCACTTTCATTTATTCATGGTTTATTTGGAATGTCAAAGCAGCAGACATAAGCTTTCTCATATTTGCATGAAAATAAGTGATTGTTGTTTTAATTTTGTACTTCTTCCATTTCACTTAAAATTACTTTATGCGTATTATATTTTTCCCTTTGAGTGACATCTCCCCAGTTCTCTCATCCTCCAGGCTCCAGTAACCGCCATTTTACTCTATATTTCTCTGAGATCAACTTTTTTATACTGTATATGTAAATAGATCATGAAGATTTGTCTTTCTGTGTCTGGTTTATTTCACTGAATATAATGTTCTCCTAATTTTTTTTTTTTTTAGAGAGAGTGAGAGAGAGAGAGAGAGAGAGAGAGAGAGAATTTTTAATATTTATTTTTTAGTTCTCGGCAGACACAACATCTTTGTTGGTATGTGGTGCTGAGGATCGAACCYGGGCCGCAYGCATGCCAGGCGAGCGCACTACCGCTTGAGCCACATCCCCAGCCCATGTTCTCCTAATTTTTGCCAATGACAGGATTTCCTTCTTTTAAAGGCTGAATAATATTTCATCGAATATGTATCCACTTTCTTCTGTTGATAGAATGGATTTCATGGATGTTGTTAATAATACTGCAGTGAAGGTGGCTATGCAGACATCTCTTCAACATGCTGTTGTATTYTGAAGTATAATAATATCCAAATGAAACCACAGCTGACGTAGTCTAGCCCCAGAGTTGTGAATATCCCAGCTGTGCCCTAGAGATGCTCCCATATGTCACCTCCAGGGGGTGATCCTTAGCTTCCAGGGAAGGACCAGGTTYACATCTCTGACACTTATCTGACTCTGTCTCTAAGAAACTCTCAGAAACTGGGAATGTCTGAGGGAGAATCAGGTCAGTTCCTCTGGGACCAGCCATGGCATTAACCTGCTTATAGACATAAATACACCTTTCAGTTTTAAAACACAGGAGGTTCTCAAACCAGTTATCTGTTGTGTATTAAAACATCATGATTAGGTGAGAATTTTCTCTCCACTTTAAGATCCAGGTAAGATCCCGCTTTAAGATGCTGCCTGCTTTGATTTCTCTTCTCCTTCAAGTCTTACTTCACAAGTATATTCATTTATTACCCTTTTTTAGTTTTAAGCTGCCCTCATCCCTTCCTTATTTTTCTCCACAGTAATTATCATCTGACACTCTATTGTAAATATGTACTTATTTTTATTTCTCCTCACTAGAGTATAATCTCCATGAAGGTAGAGATTTTTTRTCTGTTCAATGGTGCATCCACAGTCCTTAGCAGGGCACCTTACACTTACTACTCCATAAGTATGTGTGAGTAACTGAATGAATCAATGAAAAAGAATATCAAGTACAGCTGTATTGTGTGTAAAACATCATACTTTTCTATGTGCCCGCAGTCAATTCTTTGAGGTTGATAGTGTTTTGTACGAAGTGCTTACACAAATTGAATTTGTCCATGCTTAGCAGCAGCTGTTCTTAAATCCCATGCAATACAGATGCCAGGTGGTACTGCAGGCCACAGTTTGTGAGCTTGTTTGTCCTTTCAAATTCTTGATAGCTGCATGCAGCAGTAATTTAGCATTGACTTAGCATAGCCCAGTTGTCTTCCAATGCATTCTCCTGAGCTTTAGTTTCGTTCACCTTTATCTCATCTGTATTATAACAAAATTTTAGCCAGTGTTGCTAATTTCAGGGTTTCTTTTTTTTTTTCAGGGTCCAATCCATTCTCCCTATGAGATCCATTAATATCTCTTTCAAAAACATATGGCTATGTGACTTGCTTACTCCTTCAGTACTCTTCACCCTTTCCACATTTCACCTACAGTTGTGTCTATAAGACCTTTCACAACTAGGCCCATATTTATGTCTCCATTTGTTAATGCTTTTATCCTTCACACTCCACTCCACCTCTAATGTAGGACTAGAACTCCCCTGAAGACTATATTCTCTCCCACCTGCTCTCTCTACTGGGACAGCTCCTATTCAATCTTTGGGTCTCCATTCAAGCATGACATCTTTTGAGAAGACTTTTCCTGTCTGTAAGACCAAATAAGACACAGCTTTCTTTTTTTTTTCATAGAGTGTATTGTACTAATTCCTACTCTAACATTTAAACGGTGTAATAATTTGCCGTTACATGTGAGGTCTGTCATTCAAATGAAAGAGGATATTCTTTGTTTCAGCCATGATCTAAATCAGTCATTTAATATATTYATAACTTATTATTTCATTCAATATTATTTGATAACATTTAATACCTTACTCTTGCCCATTATGTTCCAGACATTGTTCTAGGTGTTGGATAAAGACCATTGCAGAAAGTGAAATGGGCAAGAGTGGAGCTGGGCAGGCATGCCTTCTGGATGCCAGGAAAAGTAGCCATTATGGCAGCGCACAGTAGGTACTAGATAATGAACTAAGAGTTGAAGCCAATGGGAAACATGGAGCCAAATTTAGTAGGACTTCATAGGTTGTTATGAMAACTTTTTTATTATGGCTTAAGAACTTTTGTTATGGCTTATAAAGTATATTGCCTTTAAAATAACAATATTTGACATGCTAACAGGTTCACTAGGGCTGATGTGTAGAGAATGGTATAAAAGAAACAAGGACAGATGCAGGGTGACCAGTTAGGAAGATTATTTAATAACYGAGAAAAGAGGTAGAGAGGCTTGGAGAGAATAAGATT